ATATTTTCAGACCAAATGCACATAGCATCACTCACAAAAAAGTCAAAACATCACGCTAAACCGGTGATCATAATACATCACCCTCAGAAGACCATAACACCACAATATCTTGAAATTGTAACAAGCGAGCCTTCGGTTGATCGTTGTCTGCCGATCACAAAAATTTTTTCGATCTTATCCACAGAGTCAGTTACTTAGAATGGTCACAAAGAATTACAACTACGCGCCTGCTGATAAATCAAAAGTCGCAAAGGCCCGCATCTTCCACGAACGTGTTTCTTTCAAGAACAGCAGAGAAGTTGGCGATGTCCTTAAGGGATTATCTCTACCAAAAGCATTCCAGTATTTGGAGCAGGTCAAGAAGCACGAGCGTTGTGTTCCATTCCGTCGCTTTAACGGTGGTGTTGGACGTACTGCTCAGGCTAAGGAATTTAAGACCACTCAGGGTAGATGGCCTCAGGCTGCTGTCGAACTATTCGTTGGACTATTGAAGAATGCTGCTGCTAATGCTAAAGAATTACAATTGGAACCAGAGTCTTTGATCATCAGACACGTCCAAGTTCAGCAGGCACCAAAGGGCAGAAGAAGGACCTTCCGTGCTCACGGCAGAATCAACGCATACAAGTCACATCCTTGCCACGTTGAAGTTGTATTGACTCCTCGTGCTACCCAAGTTGAAAAGGCTCCAGAAAAGGCTGTCGTTAAGACAAACTAAGCGATCCTGAATAAAGTAACGAAAAACCAAACGATTATATTTCGGTGCATTCTAAACTTCGACAAGATCCGTTAAACAATCTTCACAGGGCGGAAACAGTATCGTCCCATTAGTGACTGCTGATAATCTTCTAAGTGCTGGGCTTCTCACAATACCATTAGGCGTTGATATTCCAATTTGGTTCTGTTCTTCCAGAATCTCAACAGCTACATCCACCAAGTCTCTGCTCTTTCTTATTTCAGCTACAGTTTCGCCATCATCATCAACAGAATCGCTTTTGAGTGTTGAGAGTAAATATTGATACTTTGCGAGTAAGATTTCGTGTTGTTTCACTAGTTTTTCAACTAATCGATCCTTCTGTAAAGCTTTTGCTCTTAGCGTCTTTCGCTCTTCGTGATACTTCTCAATGTAAGCAGGAACAGTTTGTAGTTCCATTTGTAGCTGCTCATTCAGATGTGAAACCTTCTCAAACTGCAGAATAATATCTTGATACTTGGTGGATAAATCAGATATTTGCGCCTTGAAATCATCCCTCTGTTTCACAGCAAAATCTAATCGCTCGATTAATTCATCTTTTGATATCGACTCTGTAGAGCTTTGAACAGACTCGGTTGATTTATGTACAGAGTCGTACTTTCGCTTCAAGTCATGATATTCATCTTGAAGAGTCGCATTGTTATTTGTCAGATTTACAACATGCTTCCGTAATTCATTTAATTGTTCCACAAGAGCATAATTCTCCACTTTTAAAACTCTGAGCTCTTCATTTCGAGCAGAGAGTAAGTTCTTTGACTCTTTAGCTTGACTTTCTAAATCAGTGGATTTCTGTATGCTGGACATGGAATCTTGAATATAAGCTTTAAGCTGAATATTTTCCTGTTTCAGCCCATCAACGATTGAAGATAGCTCGTCGTTCTCTTGAGCTTTTGAGTTAAATGATTCCTTTAAACTGTTCAACTCCTTCAGAAGATGATCCCGAGACTGCCTGGTATTCATGCTGGAAGCCAAAGCATTTTTAGTTTCTTGTAATTCTTCAATTAAAGAATCCTTATCAGATATCAATTGTTCAATCTTACGCTCTCTTTCCACTTGAATACTCTCCAGCTGCTCATAGTTCCGTTTGACCTTTTGATATTCATCAAATGTGATGTTATCGGCACTTCGCTGCTTCAGTTTCAGCCGTAACTCAGCCAGCTGCTCTTCGTGCTTTGCGACAATTTCCTTCTTTTCCTGTTCGAACTTTTCTCTTAATTCCTGTAGTTCAGCTTTTAAAGATTGTTCCTCTCCGACTTGAGACGTTCTTCTTGTAACTCTGGGCGACAGTACAGCCTCCTTCTGATCGTTTGGGTTCGGTATTGACGGAGGCACAGGGATCAGTCCAGACTTATCATCCTCTTTAACTTGAGCTTCAGCAGGAGCAGCAGATGGTTTAGTCTTCTTATCCATTTGATACTTTTCCAGACGCTTTCGAGCAGCTGCCAACTTATCCTCCCTTAAAAGACTGTTGTTGTTACTTCTGCCTGCGGAAGACGGTGGAGGCGATGATGCTGTTGATGATTGTAATCGAGCTTCTGATCTTGGCTGGGTCTGCAGCGCTTGAGCCTTCGACATCATCTTTGACCTGACGGAAGCGGAAATCGGCGTCGTTGTGGGCTGCGGTATCATCGACATTCTGAAAGTTTGTAACTGAGGCGGTTGCAAAATTTGTTGCGACATGCACGAAATGAAAACTGTATGGCGCCGGTTCTTTAATTCCTTGTGATAATTATTCGATAATTCGTGCTGAATGGATAAATATCAGGTAAACTCATGCGATGCGGTACCTTTTGACTTATTCCGGAATAGAAAATAGAAAAGCTTGGAGAGGGCACATGTAATTCAATGCGATCTGAATAAGACCGAGACTGATTAACATTTTTACTTAGACGGGATCGTTTATAAGGCCCAGAACAAAGAAACAGGGACCATCGTTGCATTGAAGAGGATACGTCTCGATGACGAAGATGAGGGCGTTCCCTGCACTGCGATACGAGAAATTGCGCTACTAAAAGAACTGAAGCATCCACACATTGTTAAACTGGTAGACGTTTTGCATACAGAAAAGAAGCTCACGCTGATATTTGAGTATTTGGATTCCGATTTGAAGAAATACATCGATTCCTTGTCCTCGCCGCAGTTGGAAGTTAACCTTGCGAAAGGCTTGCTGTTTCAATTACTTAAAGGCATAGAGTTCTGTCATGAACACAGGGTGCTGCACCGAGATTTAAAGCCACAGAATTTACTTTTAAATTATCGTGTTGTTAATTTACTGTCTCCAGGCACAGGCCCACAATGCACGATGGAACTAAAACTGGCGGATTTTGGTTTAGCTCGCGCTTTTGGTATTCCTGTTCGTTCTTATTCTTCTGAAGTTGTTACACTCTGGTACAGATCTCCTGATGTTCTGCTGGGAAGCAGGCAATATTCAACATCAATTGATTTATGGTCAATTGGTTGCATATTTGGTGAGATGATTACTGGTCGACCGTTGTTCCCTGGCTCAACAGTTAAAGACCAATTACAGAAAATATTCAAATACATGGGGCCACCTCCAGAAGGATATGTTACAGGAGAGTTTAAAGAGCTTCTAGATTCTCCGGAACTCGCAGACAAAGGATCATTAGAAGATGTCTTGGGAGGAAGACTTGATGATGTAGGTCTAGACTTGTTGAAACGCTTACTGGAATACGTGCCAGAGAAGAGGATATCAGCTACTGAGGCAATGCAGCATCCATTCTTTGACTTTACGGAAAATCAACATTAATAACAGAGTCCAATAAAAAATTTATTTATTAATTGCCATAGAAATTAGTCTTGAAACCTCTTGCCTCTCCAATTAGATCATGATACTCTTTGTACCATTCTTTCAATTGGCTCTGTTTACGTAAAAGTTTCTTGACGGAATCGAGCGTGGGATTATTTCCCAGTTCCACTCTAACCTTTTTGAAAAGCGTAAACTTGAAGTTGTGCAACTTATGGCACAGTAGAACCCTTTGTAAACACTCTGAGCCAACATCATAGCACATTTCGTCTTCTTCCTCTTCCTCGTTGTTATCAAGATCAACATCCTGCTTCACTAATTTCAGAGTGATACGATCATACGAGGTTCCATGCAGTCTAATTCGACCAGCAGCCCTTCTGTTTTTGCTCCTACCAGACACACAGACACCACAGAATCTAGATTCACTCGGCAACAATTCAAGTTCTGGATACAAACGCAAATATGTCCCAAACCTTTCAACCCACTTACTGGATTCACCAAAGGTTTTGAGCATCGTTTCTAAAGGTTCTTCAATGCGTTTGATAGAGTTGTAATAATTTGACAGTTTCCCAGACATCTTCGCTTTGCCCTTTTCATTTTTGAAGGCCAAACGATATAAATCACGCATAAAGTTATCATCAACACATTGAAGGGCCAAACATTTTATGAAGATTCCAAAGTAATAAGATTCAGGTTGCATTGTGTCAAAGTAGTGCGGTGTTTGGGTGGCGGGGGAAGGGCCATTGCGATAAGACTGTGCGACCAACGCTTCAACAGCCTCTGGGTCCTCCTCAGATTCAACGTCTTCATCATCAACTTCAAATTCTGAGCTTTCGTCTGTTTCTGGTTCGTATCGTTTCGTCTTGATTTTTCTAACGGAGCTGCGTTTCTTTGGGCCGTGAAACTCGTCAACTTCCTCCGGGGACTGATACTCTTCATCCAAATCATCTACGACAAAGTCATCTGAATCGGAATCTGATGAGGTATCACTGGCAGAAGTAGCAGAGGAGTAAGATGACGACGTTATATCGTCCATTCGTCGAAGTTTCAGTCGGGGCCTTGATGCGCTGCTTTTTGTGCTTGACAGTCGGCCAGGCCTAACCGGTAAATCATCGTCATCTTCTTCTTCGCTGTCCGAAACCAAATTCACTACTGAGGCCTCTTTTCTTTTCCGTGGCATTGCAAAGCTCTCTCAAGCAAAGCAGATCAACAATCAGAAAACAGAAAACAGCGAAAACATGGAAAATTCGAAGTTTCAAGAGAAGCTTTTGGGATTTCCAGATAGTCACTGGAAAGTAGGGAAGTTGTTAGAAAGAGGGAAATGCTTTTGATTTCAACTTGTAACAGAATCTTACTATCGTGATCAAGCAAGGGCATAAGCTAACATCAGGCTACGTAGCCTAAAAAAGACCTCATGATCACAAGCAAAAGGGCATTTAAAGAGACTCGCACTACTCGACTATAAACAAAAAAATTCAAAAAGAGCGACAATAGCAAGATTTGAACTTGCGCGGGAAATCCCAATAGATGATAAGAACTCATAATTCTAATCTATCGCCTTAACCGCTCGGCCATATTGTCTTTTTATTTGAGGGTAAATTAACATTTCATCATATTTTAAGGTACATTAGGAGTCTCATAAAACTTCAGGCATACGCGCATTAGGGTCAACCTTTCCATAGTTCAAACAGAATCTATTTCTCATGGCTTGAAATACCTCTAGCTTTTCATCATCTTATGATCAAGGCAAAATGCTAAAAATATCGCACATCCACATAATGCAGCTGCATTTAACTCTGTGTTATTCAAATAGCCAACTGATCCTAGCAATCACGGCAAGTTTACATGAGATAAAGCGATCGCTCAACAAACGTCTGCGGAATATTAGTTTAAAATTTTTGATTCTACAAGGCCAAACTATCAAAGTTTTCAGCGAATCATGTACCACCACGAACCAAAAACCTTGTTACACGAGCCAAAGGAGCCACGTTTCTCTGTAATGCAGTCATCCGCGCAGCCAAATACAAGTGAAGCCCTTCGCAACGAGTCTGTCGGGAAGGAAGAGTTGAAACACGAATTAATTAAATGTTTCAAGTGTTCAGAAGAAGTTGCCGAGGCATTTGCGGCACATGCTCTTCAATGTGCCGTGCCGGAGGGTCAGGATAGTCTTGACTGGTACTTGAATGTGGCCTTTGAGGTAGATCTTGGGGATAGAGGCATCAAAGCTCTGACTGGCAAATTGCCTCCTGGTGTTTCAACTACACCGACTAGGATGCCGATTTCAAGTCTAGTCACAAATTATTATGGACCAAATTGCAACAAAGAAATTATGGCTTGGAGTATTGATCCTAAGGCTGCAGGATTCAATGCGCGTTCCGTGTCAGAATGGTGCGCAGCGAAATTTGGTAAACGTGTGCTCTACCGTGGTGTCACAACTCCCTTCGTGCGAAATCCTCATCTCGCTGGCGATTATCATACTTCGATGGGTCGTTTCTCAAGAGATATATTGCCAACTGGTCTCCAGAATCCAAACTTGAATGAGTTTGGACCAGGAGTCTATTGCACGGACGACTTTGGGTACGCTTTGGCTTCTACAGACAGCATGAACGGCTCGGCTGTCTTGGTATTCGACTGGAATAATGTTGTGGATTTGGTTCCGTATCGGTTTTATGACACGAACTTGTGGGCGAAATTCGTCAAACAGCATATATGTGCTTATGACGAGGACAAGGAAATTGAAATCGGTAGAGCCCCGACGGGACTGCATCTTACCTATGACTACATTGAAGGGAGGATCACAAAGAATTACAGGAAGATCAAAGGTTGTCATGAGCCAGAACCGAGTGGGCACACTCAGGTTGCCGTCATAAGAAACACTCATAGCATTCTAAATGAAAGGCTGGTCGCGGTTATCTATGTCTCAAGCAGCATTTAATCTAAACTTATGATGAAAGATGATTTAATAAAAATCCGTGTTCCGTTAATGATATAAACCCTTTGTAAAGTTAACCACGGACTACATGGCAAACTTCAGTTAGGCCGTGATTATTAAAAACAAAGGCATCAAAAAAGTGTCTCTCATACACTCCCCACTACATCGACAACAGCAAGATTTGAACTTGCGCGGGAAATCCCAATAGATATTAAGAAGGAACGATTCTAATCTATCGCCTTAACCGCTCGGCCATGTTGTCTTCTTGTATGAAGGAAAATTTACATTGCATCATAATTTAAAAGACATTAGCCTTTGCATGAAGCCTCTGAGCGTCCGCGCGATAGATTTAATCTTGTTTGAGTTCAACAAAATCAATATTCTGACTCTAGTAAATATTCAAACTTACAAATAATTTCTCTTACAGTCGTAATAATCTTTTCCTGCTGATCATGTTACGGAATGCGTTAAAGATTGCACCAAAACCTCTCGCGCCTCAGGCTGCTGATGTATCGCGCTCTGTTAAATCAATAGCTTACGAGTCTCCCTTTATAAAAGCCGTGACCACATTGAAATTTATATCAGCATCCACGGGCACTACTGCATTCTTGGCTGGAAACTATATGGGATTATTTGGTGATAGGGCATTGGTACAGAGTATGGGTGCAGTCTTACTCGTTACCGGTGTCGGTTCTACTGGAGCATTGACGTGGTTCTTCAGGCCTTATGTCACGAGGATCAAGATCATTGGTTATGATCAATTTAAACAGAATGGATTTGGCTTAGATACAAAGAAGGCATTAAGCTCAGAGGATCTTTTAAACCTTCAAGATGTCGATATAGAATTAGAGACAGTAGGATTATTCGGTAATCTGAAAACGCAGCGAGTAAAGATTGGTGATTTACAAGCTTCGACTAAATGGCGGCCTTTAGTAACTTGGCAAAGTGTCTGTGGCTCAAAAGACTTTTTCGTGCACAGTGAAGTAATGGAACTTGATCCTGTTCAAAAGCAGTTGCATGATGCAATTGATCGAAGCAAGAAACATTTGGAAAAGTCTCAAAGAAATCGTAAATAAAGACTATATATATATTATGCTCTAGCCTTCTTTGGTGATGTTTTCAGTCCAGCAGGCGTAAGAGCAGGAGATAGAGGCTGAACTTGTGACCTCTTGTTCTTTGAAGATAAATTTACAGTTCTCGTAGGAATAATTGATATAGTTTTTTCTGTATGTTTCTTATCTTCAGCCAGAGTACTCTTCTTCATTGATCTTGTCTTGATGTTTACAGATGGTAAAGGAGTATTCTCCTTTGAACCTTTATCTTTAGTTGGAACAATAACAACATTCTTTTTGACTCTTACTATTTCATTCAACTTCTTCTGCCCCTTCTCTTGAGTTTCAGGAGTACTTGTTATCTTCATTAATTTTAAACGCTCGCGTTCTTTCCTTTTCTGTTCCGTAACATTTTCTCTTTCATCAAGACCCTTACCGACGAAATCCAGAATGTGATCAGCCTCGCCATTCCAGAATACATCGAAAGTATCTTGCCATTCTTTTGTTACACTTAGATCAGCCTTATTTATCAAAATCGTTTTGAATTGACTTGATTTCTTTGGTGTTTTCTTTGTAGAATCTTGATCGCTGCTCTTTAAAACTGTTTTAACATCTCGAACCAATTGCTTAATACCACAAACTTTCAAACTTGTGCCCATAACGATCATCATATCAGGCTTCTTATCCAAGTCTTTCGTTAACGCATTACTGATATCTTCTCCTGACGAATGATTCTCGCCGTATAGAACGATATCTGGTCTCAAAAAACCCACAGGGAACAACCTCTTCTGTCTACGTTCTCTGCTTCTGTTGCGTTCTTCGCATTCTGGACAACTTGGTGCTTCACCTTCCAAGTATACATCAATGTGCGTGCTTGTAAACTCAATTTTGTGGTTGCAAAGGGTACACACAACATTCCGTAAAGATCCATGCAGCATTACCATCTTTGAAGATGAAGCATCAGTCTTACCTTCATCCTTTAGCACAGCTTCTTCAAGACAATCAATATTCTGTGTATAGCATCGCATCAGCTTTCCGGTATCATTCAGTCTCTTGATAAACCAATGGCATAGCGTGGGCTTAGCAGCAGAAACCATTCGCTTCAGGTGACCCATAAAATGAAAGAACACTTGTCTTGTTGCGTCCTTCTGGAATAACGAGGAATCGAATAGATCCTTCCCAGTAACGACCAAATTAGGGTACTTCTTCTTTACCAACTCATACAAACCACCAGCTGATCTGAAATCCTACAAATTAATTCATACTCTAAAGGATTAAAGGAAAACTTACTGGTATACCAGCAGATACAGAAATCCCAGCGCCTGTGACAAGTATGATTCGCTTTGCTTGGAATATTGAGTCTATAACAGACTCAGCCAATAATCGCTGGGCTGTTAAACGATGTTCAGCTGATACAACTTCTTCATGACTGATTACATGGAATTTTGACATTTTCTTCTTCTAATCGTTTTCCGTTCTTGATAATTTTGTTGTTGTGAACGCTTGCTGCCAAAAAGCTGAAACCAGAAGAACCAGAAAACTCATCGGCCGACCAATCACGCCGTGCTTTTTTTCTTTTCTTTTGCGAAAATGTTGGCGAGCAGAACAGTGGAATTACAAAGCAACAACAATTTGAAGGATCATTCAGTGGAATTCTTCAATGGAATCGTGTGCGATATGAAACCGGATGAGCGTGTTGTGTTTGTTACTGGGCAGAGCGCTTTGGATAAACAGGAATTAATGTCTACACTGAAATTGGCTGGTTTCGTAAAGATTTCTGAGAATACCGAAGGCATTGAAGCATTTAAACCATCTTATGAATTGGGCTCTGTGTCGCTATTGAAGCGAAAGCCAAAAGCAGTCGAATTGGATGATGACTTAATTGACGAAGACACTTTATTGGATGAAAAGGATTTGGTGCGCCCTTCCGTTGAGTCTCTGCAGAATCCGAGTGCAGGATGCGAAACAAAGAAGAAAGCTTGCAAAGATTGCACTTGTGGCAGGGCTGAGCAGGAACGGTTGGAAAAGATCACGCTACAGAATGTCCCACAAGAAGCCCCAAAATCCAATTGTAACAGATGTCCTCTGGGTGATGCATACCGGTGCTCAACATGTCCGTACTTGGGAATGCCAGCCTTCCAAGTATCAGACGGGAAGATTGTCTTGTCTCTTGATGATAGCGCAGACATTTGAAGAAGAATTCTAATAAAACATTATTATTTCTATTCTTAGAGGGAGTTGTTTGTGCCATTCCATTCCAAGCGCGGTTTCACCACCAGAAAGATCAGCGCTAACGATCTTGACTCAAACATGTTTACTAATTGGTGGATCGCAGCCTTAGAATGAGTCACCACGCCGAAATTCTTCTTTAAAAAGTCACTTATGAAGAAATACCTAAACTTGCTCTATGGAGGAATGCTTATGGAAATTGATGTAGGGGCGATCGAACGCATGGGTGTATTGAAAGATCTAATCAAAGCAAAGTATGAAAAGACTTGCGGGGATGTTGATGCTTATCTAATTCAGCTGTACAAGCCTCATTCAGAAGAGCAAATTACTGACTTGGATGATATTCCTCAAGAGTATTATAAGGAGGG